CACTTTATGTGCCTTTGTGGTTTACTTTTTGGTCATGAAAAGCTGATTTGTCTAAGCTTCCAGTTCTCTCTTTTGATTTTATATTGGAGTGCCCAGATTGCTTTTGTCTTCAGGAGTTCCCAAAGAGGCCCAAGTCAGATGAGGATCAGATGCTCTCAGGCTTTCTCCTAAGGTCTGGATCCCTCCAGTTAAGATTTTGGCCTCAGGAATTTGGGAGTTGGACTAGCCTGGGAGCCAGGCCCAGGAAACATGCTGGTCTAGGGCAGCTGTTGGCTGTGCCAGAGATGCAAAGACAGATGGGGGCAGGAAGCAGCCCCAAGGGCTCCTGGGGACTGCACTGAAGAGCTGGGTTGGTCTGGATGCAAAGTATCAGGAAGAGAAAAGGTCAGCCCTGGCCTCCAGGAAAGAGGCTGGTGGGTGGTGCAGGCCCAGGGAAGTAGAGGGAGGTGAGGGCGGGGCCAGGCTCAGAGTGCTCCTGGGGACCCTAGAAGGAACTGGGTTGGTCTGGATGCAAAGGATCAGGAAGCAGTTTTGGTTCCCCAGGTGTCTGGGGCGCCAAGACAAGGTATGGGACAGGACCCAGGTTAGGAGGAGAGACAGGCCGGGGAGATGGGAGGGTGGATGAAGCTGGGGGAGTCAAGGCGCTGAGGGCAAGATCGACTTACCCCGGAGAGAGGCCTGAAGGTAGGAGAGAGGGTTTCACAGTTCTTTACTTCCACTACAAATGTAATTTCAATGTCCTGCTAGAAGGCACTTTCTTAGTTTCTAATTTTTAATTAATATACATATTTATGAAATACGACATGATACTTTAACACATGAAAATAATATATAAAGATTAAATCAAGGTAATTAGCATTTTCCCATCTCCTTAAAGTTTAAAATATTTTATCATGAGCATATATTAACTGTACAAAATAATGGATCACAGGACTAGGGAGACAGCTCAGCCCACAAAGTGCTGCTCACCAGCGGATCCAGGGTCAACACTTAGAAACCAGGTAAAAGTGCTGGGTGTGGTGCACATGCTTGAAGTTGTAGGTCTGCGATTTTCCAAGAGTGGAAATAGATATGTAGTGAATCTACTACATTCCCTCCTTGGCCAGCTTCAGACAGGATCCATTCTAGAATGCTGTAAAGAGTTAAGGTACAACAAAGATGTCACTATTTATATATTGAATAGATCTGCAGCATCTTCCTCTTACTTTGCAAGTTTTTTAAAAAAGTAATTGCTGGGGCTCGAGAAATGGCTCAGCGATTAAGAGCACTGACTGCTCTTGCAGAGGACTCGGGTTTGATTCCCAGCACCCACATTACAGCTACAAACTGTCCTTAACTCCAGTTCCAGGGGACTCCGAAGCCCTCTTCTGACCTCTGCGGCAATGCACGACATGGGTGCAGTCACATACATGCAGGCAATACACTCATACAGATAAAATAAAGATAATAAATTTCTATTAAAAAGGTAATTGCTGGTAACTACAAGTTGATGCTTAATATTCTCTTCAAGTGGAAAGAAGGTAAAATTTGAGGGCAAGAAATAAACATTTTGTCTTGGTATTTCTGGAGCATGTATGGTGCACAGCAAGTGCTCCAAAATTAAATAAAAAGATGAAACTATCACAATCTGTTAAGCCTTTCAGGTAAACAGTTTTAGATTATACAACAGCAACACAGAGTTAATGGTAACATTTCATTCACTCTTTTGAATTACTTTTTTTTTTAAGTTTTCAAAGTCCTGGGTACATTTTAAATTTGCATTTTTACTAATGCTTAGCTTTAAAATAATATTTATTCTTATTTTAGCACAAGTTTGAATGAAGTCATACAAATTATCCAAAACTAATAAGCACATGGATTAAATAAAATTTATTAATGAAAAAGGAAGCTTTCACACAGACCAAATTAATTTATAATTTTATTAAAACATAACAAAAGAGTCCATATAGCTGCAATAAAGTTTAATGGAAGCTCAGTTTGGTGCTAAAAGAGCAGATATTAAATGCAATGAAAGCATAAATTATAAATAAGAAGTATTCTTAACAAAAAGCCTGAAATTCTCAGAAATTAGCCAACATATACTTATGATCAAACTTATGCATTCAGGTAAGAGGATAGCCGCAGTGACGCTGTACTTTATACAGGCTGCATTTGAAGTTATTCTTTAATTAGCTTTTCCAAGACAGAGTTAATGATCGTTTGGAAATGAGGCTCATTATATGATTCTGTAATGTATCCTGTAATAACTACCATTACTACACAGCTGTATAAACATATTTACTATGACACACTCCCCTACTACAGGTGTGTATTTTCCATTCCAAGCATTACTAATGTACACTTAAGTCTACTCTGGTTTAGAACTCAAATTTAAAGAAATAGTTTTAAAATTATTTAACTATTTGTAAAATAAAATGTTAACCTGAGCAAATGATTACTACATCATGATTCATCTTATTTGTTTTTATATTCCATTTTCCTTTAAAATGAAAGTAGGATAAGTATTTTTATTTGCAATAGAGCAGCAATAAAATTTCCATCGAAAAAGTCAGATCAGTTTAAAGTTATTTGATTTGCATTTCCCAGCAAGTATGCAGTATGAAATTTTACATTTTTCTAGTGACAATGTATGATTTAAAAAAGTAAAATATTCAAATAATATACTTAAGTGGATAGAAATCACTTTATTGGTTACAAAAGAGGTCTCTGAAAAAGCTCAAGATGAATGATTCTTTCTAGGTTTTATATAAAGTATCATATTAACAGGAAATGTTTCCGGAATTATGTTTTAGCCATTCTTTATTTTTTGGTCTTTTTTGAAGACTGGGGCTCCCTGTAGCCCCGGCTGGCCTGGAACTTACTATGTAGACCAGGCTAGCTTTGAACTCACAGAGATCTGCCTGCCTCTGTACTGGAATTAAAGGCATGTGCCACCATGCCCCATGCCTTTTAGTCACTCTTGAACATCATGAATGCTAATGCATTCAATGAAATTCAAAGAGTCAACACGTGTGTTAATACATAAACAGCATCTGTGGTTCATTTCTGAAAAAATGACTTAGTAATGACTTTTCATGCTATACCAGACCAAATGACTGCTGAAGAGCAGAAGCTTGGGGATCTTGTACAAGCCTATTTTTTATGACCAAGGAATTCAAATATCAAACTTGGACATCACTTTTTAATTTTGAAAATATAAAGAAGAATTAAAACCTCACAATGGCAAGTCCTCAAATACCTTCTCCCTCCCTCCTCTGTTTCTCTTAAAATAATCTTTTAAGATTTATAAACCTTACACTGTAGAAATGAGACTACTTTTCAGCTGTTTTCCAACAACTATTGGCTCCATCCTTCCTGACTAGAGAAATGAACAAGGAGACTCCTTTTCCATAAAAAGGGTTGGATTCTAGGGGTACACAACTTAAAAGCTAGGTTTTATTTTGATCTGAGTATGAATGCCACACATACACTGAAGCAGACAAGGAGAATTAAAGTGTATTTAGGCACAAGTTCACGCTACGGTTTCTTTCTGAGGCTATGCCCAAACATAAGCCTTTAAGCACACAGGAGTAGATCTCTTTCCTAGCATTTGAGCAAATGTCTCAGAGCCTGAGTAGCTGATAAATCAAAGATTTACAGAACTAATCTTTGGTATATTTGGAAGTGAATGCCAAATATCTAGTACCTTTTAAGTTTTCTTAATATAAATTACAGTATACTACATCTGAAGTTTCTAAACAGTGACCACAAAGCCAACTTAAACAATATGAGCTTTTTAAAAACAGCTTGTAGCTTTCTGTTTTCCTACTAATTGAAAAGGGGAAGAATCAATACTTAAGCATTTGTTATAGTAAACATACATTCCAAATTCTCTCAAAGCCCACCCCCAAGTGACATGTTCCCTCTTGCTATCCCATACCTCCTAAAGGTTCCATGACCTCCCAAACAGTGTCACCAACTAACCAAGTGTTCAAATACTTGAGCCTATGGGAAACTCTTCTCATTCAAACCACCATGTTCCACTCCTTAGCCCCCATAGGGTCCTGGCCAAAATTCATTTAGTACAACTTCAAAAAGTCCCTATGGTCTTTAACAATTTCTTAACTGTAACTCTGTAAAAATGAAAAACCAAATTATATAACTTCCAACACACAATGGTACAGTATATTCCTATGCCAAAAAGGAGAAATGGGGGCACAGTGTCTTAACTGTAACTCTGTAAAAATGAAAAGCCAAATTATATAACTTCCAACACACAATGGTACAGAATATATATTCCTATGCCAAAAGGGAGAAATGGGGGCACAGTGAGGAAATATGGGACCAAAGCAAGACCAAAAACCAGCAAGGCAAATATCAAATCCTGTAGCTCCATGAAAGACATCTGGAATTTAGTTCCACAGGGCTCAGATAGCATCACAAGCTGGAAATCTCTCTCCTCTCCCCGACCCTCCCCCACACCTCTGGTTCCACTCCCTATATACAGCACTCCTTGGCTGATGTCTTCCAGCTCTGGCTTCCCAACATCTTGAGGTCTCCACTCTTGCTTCTTTCATGGGTCTAAAGCCAGTACCATGTAGTCACCACTGCCAAGTTCTGCTGCCAGCTTGGGATGGACTATGGCTATCTTGGCAACAAAAGCCCCAGGTTTTGGATATTGTTGCTTGCTAGGAGCAGAAAATTCTTTAGCCCTTTTCCTTTCATGAGCTGGAGGCCAGTCTTTCTACTGTTTAAGCGCAAATCAGAAGGCCTCAACTTGATGGTTCTAATCTCCTTAACAATTAGAGCCTCTCTTTGAGGACACCCCATGACATTAAGCTCCCTAGAGCTCTTTCTTTCTAAACTGTACACTGTATAATTCTTTCTACCCCATTTCTACCCCATTTCTACCCCATTATACACCTGGATAAAATAACAAAACCACAGATTCAATATTAGACTGCCTTAAAATTTCCTCCACCAAAGATATTAATCCATTACTTTTAAATTTAACCTCAGGCACGTTCTTAGGTCTCAGGCAGAAAGCAGCCAAATCCTTTACCAAGCTATCACAGGAGTGACCTCTAGCCCATGTTGCTGTTTTTAAGTCCTTCTAGAACTACACTGCTCTTAGCGCTACTTTCTTTACAAGCTCCTACTAGAATGGCCCATTAAGCCCTGCTTACAGTATTCAACCTCTTTCCAACTTCAAATTTCCAAAGTCTTCCACATTCCTCAAAAAAAAACCCGAAAACAATCTTATCTGAAGAAATACTAGCAACTGATTGCTGCTAGGTAAAGAAAAGCTGATCTTACTAAAACAAGGGACTCTAGATAGGCTGACTAGACCTCAGTGGATGGATTTTCATGGTGAAATGTCTAGGGATGCTGACCAGACACAGTGGCCCTTAACAGGGAAGACATAATACATGGGCTCCAGTGGGGCGGGGGGAGGGGTTATGGGAGGGTGCCAGTGGGGATGGGGGTATAAAGATGATTAAGATTGTTTAAGATGTTCTGCATGAAATACACAAAAATTCAATAAAAACAATTTTTTTTAAAATATAAGATTCTGTAATAAATTACAGATGTTACACTTCTTGGAAAACAAACAAACAAAACCAAAAAGAAAAAAAGAAGAAAGAAAATAAAAGAAAAAAACCATGATCAGGTTCTGGTGCCAACTTAAGCATTAATTACTTTTCTGTTGCTGTGATAAAACAGCATGAGCAGGGAACTTATAGAAGGAAAAGTTTTGGGGGGCTTATGATTCCAGAGGAATGAGCTCATCACAGTGGGGAGGAATAGCAGGAGACAGCTGGAGCAGAAAGCAGAGGCTTCACCTCTTCAGTCACATGCAGGAAGCAGAAAGATCATCTGGAAGTGGGAATGATCCATGAATGCTCACAGCCCACCGCAGTGACAAGCTTCCTCCAGCCAGGCCACACCTCCTCAAGTTTCCAGGACCCTCCCCAAACAGAACCACCAACTAAACAAGTGCTCAAATACTTGAGCCTATGCTGGATACTTCTCATTCAAACCACCACATATACCCATATAGATATAGGAAGCATACAAGAACACCAAATACACAGAACAGAAATAGTGGATCATGGCGTATCACCGTAAAACACTAGATGTACAGAAGAAAGG